TACATATATATATATATATATATATATATATATACATGTAGGCTTCCATTTGGGTCTATCGCGCGCGTATAATGCATTCGGAATGACTCATCCCGTATGGGAAGAGTCAAGCTTCAGGCCCAAATAGAGAAAAGCAGTAAGATCGAATTTTGACTTGTAGCCCCAAATAATGGGAAAATCGCGGTTTAGCTTTCATTGCCTATTTGCTGTTAAAGCATACGAGGAAAGGGGCCCTTTGTAAACTTCATTAGCAAACTTTCTTCCTCTTTCTCGCTGGATGCCTGTCTAACATCCGCTTAGAGGCACCAACCTTGGTAAATGTGACTTCAATAGCATTTTGACAATAGCTCATCTCTTCTTTGAAGATCTGCTTTCATATTTCACCTTCATCTTTGTAGTTGTGCGGTCATGTTTCTCAGCGAAATTGTTTTCCTCTAGAAATTTTATTCCAACTTACACCCCCCCCCCTCTTTATCATGGAAAGGAGCTCACTAATGATCCAATCATAATCATTTTGGAGAGGTAATTAATTAGGATCTGCACCGATATGCGCCTCGACTGTTCTATTATATGCCATTTCCATTGCACAACTAGTATGATTATAAGTGTATGTCTTCGAAAAGGGGTGCGCGATAGACTTACCTCCACGTGGTGCACCCTGGACGACGCATACTCATTAGGCAAAAAAGTATGTTAACTAGCAGTTGACTTCCCAGTTCAAACTACCATGACCCCACTGTATGTCATATTCCACCACTTCCACAGTACTCTCTGCATTTTTGTCTGTCTGTCTCTTTTACATCCATGAATCACTCTTCTGTTTCCTTTCTCGAATTTGTCACACTTTGATGTTCCTCCCCTCTGTGAAGCCCGAAGTCAGCTAAAGGGCTAATGATAGCTATCAAAATGCCTGCCATTTGAATAATTAAAGAAATAAATAAATATCTTCAAACAATCGGTTCGAATGATTGGTGGTGGTGATGCCTAATTGCAGTTTCTCAGTGACCATTCCACCCTGATAAGCTCAATAGTCTGACTTTCGAATCCTCGCAAATTGCATTTGCTTCACAGCACAAAAGTTCCGATTTGCATTTTTCAAATGTGGTCGCTATTTCAGCCTGACCTCATTTCATATGATTTCAGTTGTATGAGTCACTAATATTCATTTCGCTCCATTTTGTAGTTTCAGTCAAATGAATCCATAAGGGAGTCGAATTGTTACTTTATAATGACACTAATGAGTTGGGATGTTTAAATTTTTTGGTCACTTTCTGCCAGCATATTTAATTTTGGAACCAGCTGTTCAGTTGTTCTTAACAAAGTTTTACACCACATTCACGAGGGCTTGTTCATTGGCAATATATGTATGCATTTGAAGTACCCGAATCAAATTTCCTTAATTTCGAAAGTTTTTATGGTAGGGCTTAATTTTTCCTTGAGAAATTGGAAGTCGTATCTCTGTTAATGCAAGCATGCGTTTATTAAAATTTATGCGGTGACCCAAATCATCATATGACAACACTTACCACTCCCTTCTTCAAATTCCATAATCCCCATGACTGTACGCCCAAAACTCCCACTGAATACCCAAAAGTCTATTGATTATAATCTATTTATTAGTAAGCACCCAAGCCTTACTCTTACATGTCGCATTTTTAGCACAGATCTTCTCAATTCTCCCCTCATTAATTTCCATTGGCCAGCCATTAAAGGCAAGCTATTAAGTCAACTCCAGCTCCTCCTATACCTGCTCCATCCTCTGCGACCATCTGGCCATTTCGCATTGATAAGGCTCATTAAAACATAATCTTAATCAAATCCTCTATTTGATTCTTACTCTTGTTGTTAGCGTTTTTGTTAGTACTCTATAGGCATTCATTCTTCTTATGCCTATTGAGACAATTGTGCAGAACACTCTACCATCCTTCTTGTTGACCGGAATTAACCAGTACAATTTGCCATTCGCTCACCTGGTGCTCAAATAGGAGCAACCGTCTCGTGATGTCTAACTTGCGCTGCTCCACTGGCGCACACATGAAATCATTTATTTATTTATACCAAATGCCAGGCGTTATGATTGTTGTCATCAGCCCTTTAGTTGACTTCAGACTTCACAGAGGGGAGGAGGAACATCAAAGTGAAAAAAGCCGAGAGAGGGGGGGAACAGAAGAGTGTTTAAAAGACGCAAAAGAGACAGACACAAATGTAGAAAAAAGGTGAGCTGAGTACTGCGGAAGAAGTCGAATAGGACGTAGAGTGGGGTGATGATAGTTTGAAGTGAGAAGTCTTTTCTGTAGTTGTACACTCTTTTCAGCTTTGTTTTAGCTCTGAAAGTTACGTCCATGTAAGTGCGTTTTCTTCATTTTGTTTAGCAGTTATGAATTCATTATAATTCTAAGAAGGCTTAAACTCGTTTGCATAAAAAACAAGATATTGTTCGCGTAGCCTATTTTTCGTTTTTAGGCCTCTTGTATCTGAAATAAAGATCTTCAAGTCAGCGGAACTCAAAAACGTACTACTGGATCTATAACAGTTCGTAACACCTCCCCCATGTTCTAGGATTGAGCATAAGTTAGTTAAGCTTCCACTATTGAAAGGTTAAATTGAGTAGTTAAAACTATTTTAGCAATCATAACGCAATTATACAAAAACACGGTTGATTTGAAAATGTTTTGCCAAAAGGCGACAAGTATAGTGTTGATAATAGCGATAAATCTTTTATTGAGAAAGGGGTAAGCATAATCTGGGTCTTTTGACTGAAATTAGAACAAAAGATTCGTGTTATATGAACATTTGAGGCGCCTAAATATGGGATATGTCGATCTGATATTAGCAGATAGATAATTGAGTGATATTAAATGGCAAATTCTCGTGAAGTGAAATTTTATAAATGGAAATAAGCAGAAAATTTTTCTAAGTGACCATATGTATTCCATTTTGAAACAAATTATCAATGGAATATGATCTTAGCCGGCCTGATATTCTGCTTTTAATCAATAAAACTGATTATCCGATTCAATAAACTCAAATAATGAAAAGGACTACAGCATTAATCCCTGATTGGCGAACGTTTATGGTCGTCTTACTGATAGGCCTTTGATAGGAATTTGTTACCTATAAATGCTGCACTCACTAATCGCCTAGTTTCTATTGACATGAAGTTATAAGAAGATAACGAAATTGAAGTTTGGCAATAAATTTGAACAGAGACGGAAAATAGCTTTTAATTAGTAAAAGAATTTATTGTATTGAATTTGAGGATAATGTTCAAACATTGCAGGTGCCTAAAACGCCCTGGGAATATGTCAATTTCGATTGGAGATTGCACAAAACTGAAAACAGCCTTTCGTAACCTCATTATTTTCAATAGGTAATTTACAAATTTGGTAGATAATATGTCCATAGATTTACTATTGATAAATTTATTGCAGTACTATTTCCACTCAAGAGTGATCAATTTGTCAAAGATTTTAGTGCTCAAATTGATGTATTTTGAAATATTGACCAATAATTTTAATTCTCTCACTGGAAAATCCAATTCCATTATGCAATAGGCGCAATGGCACTTAGTAGGTTGCAACTGAAGTTACTTTGACATATCCCTTTGCTCGTCGGCATATAAAAGTTTGGGTTTCTCAATAGTCCTGTTCAGATAATCCATAATAATATGAAATTCGAATTTGTATTGTGTATTTGTTAAGTACCGTTGCGTAATACAAAAATTTGCAATAAAAATACCTATGATTCAAGATGAAATCTCGTATGACACACATGAGTTAGGAAAACACGAATCTTTTATAAGTGGCTGATATGCGATTCAGGAAATTTACTTCCATTAATTGGTAAAATACTAATTTTGCATGCTGCCGTTTCTTCGCATGGTATTAGACCCCCTTTTTGACGTATTTGTGTGGTGACTAGCTGGATCTCTGGGTGCGATGGTAACGCTAGTGTCCGGATTTTCATGTGGTGAGTAATGCCTAGTGGCTCTTGCATAACTACAAACTGGAAATCGAGTTTAAACTAACTGCAAACCAAAGAATAAAAATCAAATAAAGAATCCTGCATACTAATCAATGTCTGAAAGAGACAGAATACAAAAGCAAATCAATGTTAGGTTGGAAAAATAAATGATATGAAATAGCATATTTTGTTCACTTTTCACAACACTTTAACCCAAATATTACCGATTGAGATATGGATTTCCTTTGCGATTTTCTCAAGAGATTAAAAAGAAACAAAGGATGCATCCCAGAAAATTATTAGAAAATAAATTTACATAACTTTGTTCTCGATATTTTAGAGGTATCTGCAAATCAATATCATTCAAATAGGTCTTCTATGGTAAATAATACACTCTTTAATTGACAACCTCCATCATATTTCGGAAATACTTTTAAGTATTTAGTGTATATATGTTTGACGTGAATCGTTTTATTAATGGATAAAACTCACACAAAGTACTTTGTATCTTTTACAAAATGATATGAAGTAAGCAATGAAATTTAAGTATAATAAAGCATTAAGCATATTGATGATAATTGATCAGAGTAAAAACTGGTCTTATAAATCTTAGTCATTACTTTAAAAAAGAATAAAAGATCAAATTTGGGCTTATAAATGAAAAAAGTAATAGAAAGAGAATTTTGTCATAGGATCATAGCTACAAAAATGACCAATGAAATGAGGCCAATTTCTGCCCGTTTTAAAAGCATTGGGCGTCAACCTATTTCTAAGTACTCACGGCTGTGTAAGCTTAACTGCCATTGTGCTTTTTTGGCTTTTAATGTTTTGCACTTATTCATTTTTGAATTTGTTTAATTATCTAAAGGATATTTTTTGATTTCCTTATTTTTGAAAATTTATGTTATTTTCCGGCAATTTCAGCATGTACGATCGTCGAGAGGCATTTGTGATAGGTTTACTCTACTCTTTAGCATTATGTGGCATTGTTCACTATTTCATAAATCCAATACAACCATCTGCTTATATGGATGAAGAATTTCACGTTGATCAAACCTTAACCTATATTAGAGGTGATTGGGGTTCTTGGAATCCAAAGATTACTACACCTCCTGGACTTTATGTCTTAACCACTCTCGTATGGCGCTTTGTGCCTTTCGAAGCAACAGTTGAAAATTTTCGCTTTCTCAATTGCATTTTTGCTGGTGCTAACTACATAATCCTAGCCGAGCTGACACAAGATATCTTAAAAGCAATGGCAATTGTCACTTTACCCGTTCTCACCTTCACTAGTCTTCTCTTTTATACAGATCAACTTTCTCTCTTAGCTTTTCTTTCTTCTCTATTTGCTCAACGATCGTCGAATAAATTCCTTTCATTCCTCTTCGGATGCTTTGCTTGTTTCGTTCGCCAAACTAATGTTGTTTGGCTTGCCTTTATGATCGGCGAAAGGGCTATTCAGCGAATAGCTGCCTCTCATCCCCATGTTCGCCGGAACTTCTTTGAGTGGAGTATTTATCTTCTCAGCAATTTTGTCGATGTTATCTCAGCTTGTTGCAAGGCTGCTTTATTTGACGCTTATCATCACACGGCAACAATTATTCTTTTTGTAACTTCAATAATCTTTTTCAATAATGGCGATATAGTTCTTGGGGATAAATCCGCCCACAAACCAGTGTTCCACATTCCTCAATTATTTTATTTCTTTATCTTCTGTGTGGCTCACACATCCTTAACCTTCTTACATTACCTTAATAATAATCTCCGTATTCCACGTGGAAATTCTCTGGTTTTTTTCACCTTCTTTACATTTCTGATTATTATTATGATCCACTTTTTCACCTACGAGCATCCTTACCTCCTTTCTGATAACCGTCATTACACATTTTACATTTGGTCGCGTTTCTTCAGACGCTTTCCACAAGTTAAATATACCTTTGCACCCTTCTATCTTGTTAGTGGGAGTTATGTTTGCTCTGGACTTCAAGGTGGACTGATTTCCGAATTTCTGACCAGTTTGGGCTTCTTGATTGCAACCGCCTTAGCTATAGTGCCAGCGGGTTTGGTTGAACCTCGGTATTTTATAACCCCGTTTATCATTTGGCGTTTATTAAGATCGTCAAAGTTGAATGAATCCTGGGCTTTTATTGTTGAAATTTTCATTAATTTTGGGATCAATTTCGTCACGATTTACTTATTCCTCTACCATCCTTTCAAGTGGATATCTCAACCTTTTACTTGGCAGCGTTTTATGTGGTAATTTGCTATTTATGATTGAATTGTACTTGATAACCTTCCGATGCTCTTCTGGACGGTAACCTGCGTTCATTATCGTCTTCTGTACATAATCGATAATTTAATAAATATCACCAATTGTTAAATGGTTTTATGATCTTATTCAATAGCAACGGG